CTTCATTGGCACTCAGTGGCCTTCCACCCTCCCGAGTTACCTAGGGTGAGGCCTAGCGACGTCAACACTGGGGCAACTCTCCCCACCTGGTCCTGCCAGGAGGGCATCTGTGCTGCTCCCTGCCCATCTCCCGGGAGGAGAGGTTGCATCTAGTGCTTGTGGTGCGTCAGCTCCCAACAGGTACCTGCAGGTGACATATCTACAGAGCAGTCCATGGGCTGAGCTGCACATCTTATAATACTGCCTGGCAGGAGAGCCCCCTCTGATTGGCTGCTTTGCTCACTGCCCTGCTTCCTGGGGAACAGCAGCCAATCAGAGCTGCTTCAGGAGGCAGGCAGAGCACTCACGCCTCCCCTCAGGAGCCGACACTGCACTCACAGGTGGGGAGGAGGAGCAGAGGGACGCAGCAGCTCTGCCCCCTACTCCCCATCCTGTGAGCAATAGGGATAGGACAGTGCCTCTGTCCCCTCCCCTCCCCCCTTCAGCACCTGGCCTGGACAGGTGGGGTAAAGAGCTCTTGGAGCAGCATGAGGAGCAGATATGAGGCTGGGGAGTAGAATTGAGTGGGACAGACTTGCTTGCAGGCTAGGGGCACAACTGATGATGGGCCTGGGGGCAGAACAGATGTGGGGGCAGAATTGATGGGGGACTTCAAGGAGAGAGGATTTCTTTGGGGGATGGGTGAAGAATTAATTGCAGGGCAGGGGGATGGTCCGATGTGGGGATGATGAAAGAGCCCCCATTTCCTGGGGAGGGCGTGAAGGGGCTGAAGTGTGGCAGGGCAGCTGCAGGAACCCTGTAAATCCTGTCTGTTAGTGTAGTAATTACTTTATTATGCAGCTGAGCATTTTCAGCAGGAGAGAAGCCCAGGAGTGGCCTCCCTGCCCAAGAACTCCATGCCTCAGACAGCCTCAAAGAGCCGCCCTGACTCAGGTTGTTACTTCATTCGGGGAAGCCTGTAAATCCTGTCTGGGGTAGCATGATATTCTTTATGCTGCTGTATCCTCAGCAGGAGAGCAGCCCCAGAACGGTCCCTCCGCTGCATTGGGATAGCTATCCCGGCAAACCCGCCTAATATAGACACAGCTGCTATGCTTGTGCTGGGGTAGCTCAGATCAGCTCCCCACAAGCACTGTTTTGCTGGTATAACTGCGCATAAGGTAGGGCTTTTACCATAGAATCACAACCCTGGGAGACATCACTATACCAGCAAAACTTTCCAGTGTAGCCCTGGCCTCAGACAGCCCGATCATAGAGCTGCTCTGAGTTAGGCTGTTCCTTCATTCAGAGCTGGCAAGCGATTGCGACTCCTCCAGCTCTGAACTGCGCCAACAGGGATACGGCCAAGGTTTCCCCTCTCCCAGGTGGCTGGCAAAGCGCTCTGAGGCCGAACGGCATGGCACAGAAGAGGGTTGCAGTTATTGGAGCTGGCGTTTGTGGACTGAGCTCCATTAAATGCTGCTTGGACGAGAGGCTGGAGTCCACCTCCTTCAAGAGAAGTGGTGACATTGGAGGGCTCTGGCGATTTGAGGTGGGTCCGAGTTTCTCTCAATCCTGACTCGCTTGGTGGGGTAGAAATGAAAGTGTTTCCAGCCTTTCCCCCGGGAGAACATTCTCGACAAGCATTTCTCTGCATGCTCCAACCTCTGCTTAGCAGCAAAACAATGCAGGGCCAGTAGCCATGTGTCAGACTCCACCACAGCCTTACCGTGCTAGGAAGCTGTACAAACATCTCCAGCGCTGCTAACACCAGTTCAGCTGTGCTGCACGTAGCCCCCCTGGGAGCCCCAATGCAGCCGGAATAATCGGTGTGGCACTGAAAAGAGCTGTTGGAGCCAGGTGCTGCTGAGCCGGTTCTAGCCATGGGGGAAGAGTTTGTATAAACACTCTCATAGAGACCAGGCTTCAAGCTCCCTTAGGCCTCAGTGCACCTGCTACGGGCCTGACCCAAAGGCCAATGAAGTCAATGGGACTCTTTCCACTGACCCTAGGGGCTTTGGATCAGGCCCTTACTAATGTGTGAGGGAGCCCACAGTGGCGTAACCAACGTGCCAAAGGTGTGAGTTAAAGAAGGCCCCCCTCTGTCCTTCACATCCATGTTACATCTTGTTTCTGCTGCCCCTCTTCCTGCTCAGTGCTGGCTACAGCAGCTTAGTTTTGAAGATGACCAGACTCCCCTGACTTTTGGCTATCGTAATGTTTATGCTGATAGATACATGCCAGTGAGTAGCTGGCATGTACGTAAGGGAGTCATCTCCATAGGGTGTGTGCAGGATTGCAGCAGGATTTCCATTGCACTTAAAGAAACGTCATTGTGTTCCCACTGCACCCCGTGCTAATCTCATGTGACAAGAACAAACTTCTGTGTGACTGTCATTCACCATCTGTAAGGGGGCCTTGTTATTGGATTTCTAGAGCTTTACTTTGTGGGAGGTCACATGGCAGGTGTTACACTCTATAATGTTCTCCTGCTCCCTGCAGGAGAATCCCGAAGAGGGCAGGGCCAGCATCTACAAATCTCTCATCATCAGCACCTCCAAGGAGATGATGTGCTTCAGTGACTTCCCCATCCCAGATGATTTCCCCAACTACATGCACAACTCCAAAATCATGGAGTATTTCCGCATGTACGCCGACTCCTTCGACCTTCTGAAATACATTCACTTCAAGGGGAGGAGAGCTGGCCCAGCGAGCAGGGGTAGGACTCTGTGTTTGTGTTGTGTGTGTGTGTGCCAAATCTAGGTGAAAGAATCCCCACTCCCGCTGAGGAAACACCTCACACTCATGGAGCAGGGAGAGCCAGACAAGCTGTTCTGGGACCTCCTTTTCTCTGGGGGCTGCCTGGCGGAAGTTACAGCCCAGCTCCCAGGAACCACCATAGCCCCATTCCCTGTGGGAGCCAGTGAGCCACAGAGGCCATGAGGCAAAACCCAGCAGAGCCCAGCTGGCCTCCTGCTGCTGATCCCAGCTGTGCGCTGGCCTTGTGCTGTCTGTCTGGGTTGCTGACTGAGGCATGGGGAGGAGGTTAGTGTCAGGGGCTCCGTTCCAAGGGAATGGATGAAATTCCCTGGTGCCCGCTCTGAGTGCCCTTTTCCTTCCAGACCATTGTGATCAGTGTGACAAAACGCCCGGATTTCTCCACCATGGGCCAGTGGGACATTGTCACGGAGACTGCGGGGAAGCAGGAGTCAGCCATCTTCGATGGAGTCATGGTTTGCACCGGCCATCACACCAACGCCCATCTGCCACTGGACTCCTTCCCAGGTAGGATGCGAAGTGCAAAACTAATACTAAACCCTTTATGTCTCTCTGCATCGCCATACATTATGTTCTAGTTCCAGTCCCTCCATCCCCTCATGTGGCCTGGGACCAGAGGGATTTCCTGATGGAGACGGCGGCAGGTCTGCAGAGGCTCCTGGTGGATGCACAGGTCTGTCCTGGAGGCAGCATTTACAAGAGCACTCAGCATTGACCCAACTCTCTTTCCATGGACATCACTGGGAGCTGAGTTAACCCAATGCTGAGCACTGTGGAAAAGCCCACCCATAATGCCCCTGCCTGTGCAGTACCTGGGGCAGGGGTGCTATGTGTGTGGATATCTCACAGGTCTGAGGCCTGTGTTGTACCTGAGGAGGGGTATGGTGGGGCAAATTTTACATGCCTCTGCCTCTGCTGCACCTGCAAGGGGTCACTAAAGGACTTGAGTCTCCAGGGCTGCTGATCCACCAGCGACTCACAGTGGTGGTGAGGGATCAAATGTGCAAGGAAAGCAAATCCAGGACCAGATCACTACAGTGGCATACCATCCCCGATGAGAAACTGAGTTCCACCATCCAGGGCTGATTTGCTAAGACAGTTGAGGGCGTAATTGCTAAGATATGGAGCCTTCAGTACCCTAGATGCTGATTTTCAGCCATTCATTCTGGGACCTACTTTGAAAATACTTGCCCTGCTAGTGCAGCTAGGTCAAGATTGCTTGCAGCACAGGTGCAGAACGCAGCACTGAGTCACACTCTCTGTCATGCTGTTAGTCTATCATCACCACCAGACCGGGAGTCCTGTTAAAAAGCAGGAAAGGCAGTGTGCCCTTGTGCACCTGGGACCCAGGAAACCTGGCTTCTATTCCCAGCTCTAGCTCTAGTAAGTGCCCAAGGGTGACCTTGGGCAAATCACTTCACTGTGATTTGTAAATGTGATTTGTCTGTAAAATGAGGATGCTGCTACTGACCTCCTTTGTAAAGCATTCTAAATTCCTCTCATGGAAAGCTAGGGATTATTTTAGTTATTAATCATAACAATCATTGTAATTAACTGGCCAGTTTCCTTGTGTACATGGGCTTAAAGCTGACTCACAAGGTGTGTAGGGTGGGGGTAGAGTTACCCTCCTTTGCTTCATTTTGTACAAAGGCCTGAAAGCCATTTTTAAAATGGTTTTTTTCTGCTTGTCACTTGCATTGGAAATCGAGGGGTCCTCTCTATTCCTGGGCACTCTGATTGGCTGGAGAACAAGCAGATGATGATATCACACATACCAAGGATGTGGCCCTTGATTCCACTGATAGGGAAGGGATTTTTTACTCAGTGTTTCAAACTGCTATTCCCTTGCATCTGAAGAAGTGAGGTTCTTACCCACGAAAGCTTATGCTCCCTATACTTCTGTTAGTTTTAAAGGTGCCACAGGACCCTCTGTTACTTTTTACAGATTCAGACTAACACGGCTACCCCTCTGATGCTATTCCCTTGCATCTCAGACCCCCAGGACAATGCAGGAGGCATGGGGCACGCCCATAACTGCTCTGCTCCTTCTTTGCAGGGATTGAAAAGTTTAAAGGCCGCTACTTCCACAGCCGGGATTACAAGAAGCCCCAGGAGTTCTCGGGGAAGAGAGTCATTGTGATCGGCATTGGCAATTCGGGAACAGACCTGGCAGTGGAGCTCAGCCACACCGCAGATCAGGTTTGGTTTAGGGAATTATTTTACACCACAGAACAGTCAGAATGTTGTGGCCCATCACTGTGTGACTTCTGCTGACTCAGCAGCCGAGTGCTCTGCCCCTCCCCCCCCCCCCGGCCTCCCGTGCTGTGCCCCCACATGGCTACACCTCCCCGTCAGAGTGCAGCTATACTCGGGGGGGCCCATTCCCCTCTCCAATCCACACTGGGGAAATCTTCCACTTCCTGTGTTTTCCCCCCATGTGGAATTCCCATTGATTTCAATGGTGTGCCAGCAGACTGGGCAACAGAGGGGGGCAGTGAGGAATGGGGAGCAGATCTGGAAGGCCCACCCATGCAGACTTGCTCAATCTGCTATGCATCAAAGTTCATACCCGCTCTGCTTTGCCTAGGGAGCCTGTCAGAGACATCAGGCCTCCAGCCCACCCTGGGGGAATGCTGAATTGAGAATCCACACCTGCTGTGTTACAGGGGTTACCATCTGCTAAAATACCCCACAACCTGAGTGAGCAAGGCCAATAAACCTCTGAGTCTATGTTGCTCCCAACAAACAGCCATTGAATTCCAGTTCTGTTGTGGATGGGGCACGTGCCCTGGACACAGTTCACCTTAGTCCATCTCCCTGAGTTGCAGCCACTTGGTGCTACCTGAGCAGCACAAGAGGTCCAGACTCTAGCTGTAGCTCGCTGGAGGAGAGTTCTTCTAGTGGAGCTGGGGAGCTCTCTGCAGCCAGCTGCTACACCAGCTGCCCTCACCCCAGCCTTGCAGAGGAGCATGTCACAGCCCAGCTCCATTCTGCCAATTCCCAGTTGACATGGTCCCTTAGGGAAAGTCATGGCCCTTTTAGACCTATAGAGGTGTCTAAACTGGCCTCCATTCTTCCGATAATGCCAGCTTTCATCACCCACTTACACAATATCCAAACAAGCTCCTTCATACTTTCTCCCATCCTGCCCTCACTCTGGCAGGAATTTCCCATAACCATCTGCAAATCCCTTCTTAAAACTCTGCTTTGCTGTGCTCCTTATTAGGCAACTGGTTTTCCGAAACCACTGGCCATCGTGCTGACCAGCACTATCTCATTGTTTTCTTCGTCTGCCTGTCTCCACCTGTTCTTTCTCTGGGGCAGGGAACCTCTTTTTGTTTAATATGATCAAGATACTTAAATGCCACCCCTATCTAATAATTACAAGTAAGGCTAAGTTTTAGTCATGGATATTTTTAGTAAAAAGCATGGACAGATCACAGGGCAATAAACCAAAATTCACAGGCCCATTACCTGTCCACGACATTTACTATAAATACCCATGACTAAATCTTAGCTGCTCCTGGAGCTGCGGGCTGCCTCTGCTGCTCTGAGGGGGCGATCCCCAGGGCACTGCTGCTGCTCCAGGACCGCTGATCTGGGGCTGCCCCCGGGATCACTGCTGCTCCGGTGGCCCCCAGGGCCAGCCGCACCTGTCACTGCCCAGGGCTATGCCAGCAGCAGCCGGTGCAGCTGGCCCCAAGGCCACCCAAACACCTGGTCCTACAGTCGCCCCAGCAGCAGCCAGTGTGACTGGCCCAGGGGCCAGTTGCTCAGGCAGCCCCGGGTCAGCCACACTAGCCACTGCAGCTGTGGTATTCACGGAGATCCCAGAAACTCATGGAATCCGTGACCTCCATGACAGACTCGCAGCCTTAATTATAAAGAAACACATATAGAAGTGAACCGTTCGCTGCCATGAGAATGGCTCTTGGCCAAAGAGGCTCTTGGCAAGTCACTTGAAGGCCTGTGGTTTCCAACAGCTCTTCTTTCTCCCTCTTTCAGGTCTTCCTTAGCACCAGGCAGGGTGCATGGATACTTGATTGGATTGGAGAAGAAGGGTACCCCATGGACACAATTTATGTCACTCGCTATATAGAATTCCTCATGCGCATTGTGCCTCTATCCCTGCTTAACTACTTTACAGAAAAGAAACTGAATGCAAAATTCAACCATGCAATCTATGGCCTGCAGCCTGCACACAGGTGAGCTGTGGAGCCAGGAGGGGAAGGGTCATCTTCATTGTGCCCACACAGCCTCCTCACATCCTTGCACATGGATTCCACAGGAGAGTGGAGCGCTGGGATGTGTCAAGCACTGGAGAGAGGTCCAGCTCCCATGGCAGAATGTATGGGCTCAAGCAAACCTGCAGCTAGAGCAGGGATGGGCAAACATTTTGGGCCAAGGGACACATCTGGGTGGGGAAAGGGTATGCAGGGCTGGGGCTTGGGGTTCGGGTGTGGGAGGGAGTGTGAAGTTTGGGAGGGGGTGCGATGTGCAGGAAGGAGCACCTCCAGGTACCTCCCCCGAAGCTCCCATTGGCTGTGGTTCCCTGTTCCCGGCCAATGGGAACTGCAGGGGGCGCTGCCTAGACACAGGGGCAACTCACGGAGCCCTTCCCCCACCCCCACCCCGTCTGGGGCACCGCAAGGATGTGGTGCCGGTGCCGGTGCCGGTGCAGGTCGGATCCAAAGCCCTGAGGGGCTGGATCCGGCCCGCAGGCCGTAGTTTGCCCACCCTGAGCTAGAGTCTCTAGGGTTTGGGTTCGATCCCATTGCTGTGCCAGATCCCCCAGCCAATATCTGTTCATCACCAGGGGCCCAGCTCGCATTGCTGCTGCTGCTGTGCCAAATCTGTCAGCATTTGCCTCACCTGGGACCTAGATCTTATTCCCACTGCTACCCTACAGCAAACACCCTTCTTCTGCAGCTTTTGCCGACAAAACAGCGGAGGCGTGCACGCCAACAAAACTTTCCTGCTTTGACGACAAAATAAAACCACCTCCACAAGAGGCAGAGAACTTTTTGTGGCAATGTCAGTTTCATCAGATTACCAAGTGCTACTTTAAAAAGTGCAAGGGCGTCAGAGCCATTCCAAAAGTGAGGGGCCCTTCCCCTCCTCTTCCCCCTGAGGCCCCGGCCAAGTGGGAAGCTGGAGCAGGGCCAGGGAGCCGAAAGCAGCCCCCTGCCCGTGTCTCCGCTCCCCAGGCTCCCCACTCAAGGCAGGTGGAGAGAACCAGGCCCCTCACAGCTGTCCGTGCGGCTTTAACCTGGGCTGTGTGGGGGGCCCAAGGAGAGCAGCCCCCATCCCATGTCTCCACCCACCGGAACCCACCGCCAGGGCAGATGGAGGAGCTGCGACTCCACACAGCTACCTGCGCAGCTCTTACCATGTCAGGGCTGCAGCTCCGAGCCCCCATCTCCCCGCAGCTGGAGCCGGGTTGGGGACAGCTGTCGGAAGCTGTGTGGAGTTGTGATGTCTGAGGCTAACATTTTGTCATGCATATTTTTAGTAAAACTCACGGACCAGTCACAGTCAATAAAGAAAACTTCATGGAAGACCATGACCTGTCCATGACTGTTACTAAAAATATGCATGACAAAATGGGGAGCTGCAGCGTCCCCACATCGCCTGCATGGGTCTCCAGCTCAGAGCTTCAGGGTCCCCCTGCCGCCTGCGGTGGCCGGGAGCTATGGGACACCTGGGCAGTGGGGCCACCCAAGCTCCAAACTGTGGTGGGCGGCAGGGGAACCCTGCAGCTCCCAACCACAGAGGGCTGAAGTCACAGATGTCTCTGGAAGTCATAGATTCCGTGACTTCCTCAACCTCCATGATAAAATTGTAGCCTTAGTGATGTCTAAACAGTCTCACTCAGTTAATTCTCTCTCTTTCTGGACCAATTTCATGCCTTTAACCATTCTCATCTCCTGTCTCTGGCACCCCAAGGTTTCTGTTCAGTCTTTTTGGCGATGGAAACCAGAACTGAACCCAGGACTCTAGCTAAGGGCACGGCACTGCCATACAGAACTGCAGATCAAGTCAGTATTTTCCAGGCCATTCCTTATGCTCTCTAATGCTACCTGCTGCTTCAAGCACTGCTGCGCATTGAGAAGAGGTTTTCATTGAGTGGTGCGCAATGCGGCCCATGTCTTTTTCCAGAGCGGTTACAGTTAATTTAGACCCCAGCCTTGTTTATAAGTAGTTCAGATTATTCTTTGCAATGCACATCACCTTACATTTGTCAGCTTCTTCTGCCAACATGCTGCCTAGCTACCTACCTTCTTACCACCCGTGGTGGTCAGTCAGAGAGCCTTTGTCCCTTGCATCGCAAGTGGTCAGTGGTTTTTCTTCTTCTGTTTAGCCCTGTGCTTCTCTGTAGATAGTTTTAAGCATTGTTAGTTAGTAGTTAAGTACCTGTTAAGTATTTAGTTAGATAGCGTTGCAGCGGGGACTTCACTCCAGTGGTGGTGGGGCATGCCCCGATCTCCAGGTTTCAAGCCCTGCTTGTCCTGTAACAGGCCAATGCCTGTTAGTGACCCGCACAAGAGTTGTTTGCAGTGCCTCAGGGAAACCCATATAAAGGAGCATTGTCGTATCTGCCAGAACTTTCGTCCACAGACTCAGAAGGAGTGCGACATCCACCTGAGGGCCCTCCTGATGCAGGCTGCCCTGTGTCCAGCTTTGGAGCCAGTGCAGCCTGAACCGGCACCCAGCACTTCAACTTCGGTGCATAGCGCACCTCCAGCACCAAGGTCCTCCCGGCACTGATCCCCGTCACCAAACAGGAAGCCTAAGAAGATGGCATCAGCCAAGACCAACAAAGGGGCTCCTGGCAAAGGACCCTGTTCAGGCCTTATGCCCACTCCGGACCTGTTGAAGGGTTCGGCCATGGGGGGTTCCTCCCCCAGAATGGACCCTCCACCAACTCCGGGGAGCGGTAAAGGGCCTAAGCAAGTAGTGCAACCAGCCCCCTCCAAGGACCTGGCACCGGGAGAGTCCACAGCACCTCTGCCGCATGTGGCAAAGGACCCGGCTAAGGCTCCCTGTGAGATCTCGAGGACGCTTCCTGACACGACGCCACTCCGCCTACCCCCAGCACTGGTCAGATTGGTCCCGGTCTCCAGCGGTGACCGTGAGCCTTCAGACTCAAGCCTCCACAGCCCCACCCTCGTCGCCAAAAGGAGACGATTTCTCAGGCTCGGAGGCGCAATTCAGTCCCTCACCCAGACAGTGTGAGTGGGCTCCAGAGGGCGCATCAGCGGCATTGGTGCCAACCTGACACCAAAGCCAGTGGCCAACCCAATGACCATATTGAAACGCATGGGGCATTCCTGTCATGCTGGTGCTCCACTCCCACCAGCCCTCAGTCACCACATCAGACAGACCACAGGCGGCGCCCACAGCACCTGCGGCATTGGGCCCAGTGACTGCCTCAGATGAGGAACCAGTACCCCCCCCCAAGGCCGCCCTCCCCAGCCATACAGTCATCTTCCTCCTCCCCAGACAAAGCGGTAGTGGGACCGTCCAGAGATAGCCCACCGGACAATTTCTGTGAGCATCAGGCTCTGCTCCGCAGGGTGGCAGCTAACTTGGACCTCAGAGTGGAGGAGATGGAGGAGCAGATGGACACGCTTTTTAAGGTGCTCTCTGCATCCGCCCCAACCCAGGTCACACTCCTGGTTCACGAAGGGGTCCTGAATATCACCAAGGCCATCTGCAAGACCCCGTCCTCCATCCTGCCCACCTTGAAAAGGGTGGAAAAGAAGTACTTCAGCCCCACAAAGAGGTTCGAGTACTTATATACTCATCTGCCACTGGGTTCATTGGTCGTGTCGGCGGCCAATGAACGGGACAAACGGGCCCGCCAGTTCTACCCCTAAGAATAAAGAGGCAAAAGGACTGGACTTATTCATCCGGAAGATTTATTCTACAGCTAGCCTCCAGTTTAGGGTGGCAAATCACCAGGCCCTCTTGGGCCGCTACAATTTTAACTTGTGGGGCTGTCTTCTCAAGTTCAAGGACTCTATGCCCCAGGAAGCAGCCCAGGAATTCGCCACCCTGGTGGAGAAAGGAACTGTGGCTGCTCTGTCTTCTCTCCAGATGGCCTGGGACACCGCTGATTCAGCTGCCCGAGTGGTCGCCTCAGCAGTGGTCATGCAGTGCAGCTCCTGGTTTCAGAACACGGGCCTGTCCCAGGAAATGCAGGCCCCGATCCAGGATCTTCCGTTTGATGGTGTCGGCCTGTTTTATGACCAAATAGATGTTCATCTGCACGGCCTAAAGGACACAAAGGCGACCCTCCGCTCCCTGGGGATGCACATGCCTCAGTTCCGGCCTCCCCCCACCTCCCAGTGTCTGCCTCGGCAGGGTCCTACAAGGAAAAGGGACACTGGATTCAACCGCTGCCGCCCCTGGTTGTCCCGATCTCCTGCGCAGCCTGGCCTGGTGAAACACCAGGGGGGCCAGAAGCACTCATTTTGAGGGTACACTGGGGAGCAACACACCAGCCAACTGCCTGGATCTTTCCCGCCCCTTCCTTGACCGCCTTTTCTCTTATTGCTCGGCCTGTTGGAGTTGTCGGCAAGAAGGAACCGAGAGGGCGCAGGGCTGACAGCACCTGATATACCACGCCATGAGCATGGCACTCCAGAGGGTGCCACAGCTGGCCCTATGGGTACCACTAAGGCAAAAGACTCTGATGGCCGCGCACGTGGGCATGCGCATAACCTACAATGGAATGGACATGAGCAACACATCTCAAAGAATAACAGTTATAAAACGGTGAGTAACTGTTTTTTCTCCTCTCTCCTGGCAGCCTCCTTGACATTTATTGTATCTCTTTCTGTGCCATTCAGGTTTTCCAGCGTGCACCCAACCGCCAGTGACAATCTGCCAAACCGCATAATCTCTGGCAAGGTGCTTGTGAAACCGAACATCAAGGAGTTCGCCACAACCAGCGCCATCTTCAAAGATGGAACCAGAGAGGAGAACCTTGATGTGGTTATCTTTGCTACAGGATACAGCTTCTCTTTCCCCTTCCTCGGGGACTGTGTCAAAGTGGTCGAAAACCAGGTCTCCCTGTATAAATTTGTCTTCCCTCCTCATCTGGAGAAGCCAACTCTGGCTTTTATTGGCCTCATCCAGCCATTTGGGCCCCTCATGCCCATTGCCGAACTCCGGGGTCACTGGGCCACACGTGTGTTCAAGGGTACGTGAACCAAAATGCAGGAAATAGTCTAGCCTGCTGGGCAAAGAAAGCACAGACATTTCCAAGGAAATCCTACAGCCAGTGCTGTTCAGGTGGACAGTCTGCCATTATGCAACATTTCTGTTGCTCTCCCTCTTTCGACTGCCATCTTCCCAGTGAAAGGTGACCAGGTTATGTTCTCTGTTTGTGTATTTCTGACACAGAAAGACCTGACTGGTTTATTTAGAAATGTTCTGGGACGATTTTCATTTCTTCCAAAAAAAGCCATCTTTTCTGTTGGGAAAAAAGTATTTATTATAAAACGTGGACCAGCTCTACTCTCTGGGTGCTCCCTCCACCCCCCGTCCTCTCCCCTCCCTCTCTGTTGGTGCTGGAGTCTGGATAGCTTTCTCTTACCCTCTGGCTGCACCTAGTTTTCACTTTTACTCGCACCCTCTCCTTTGCTCACCCACTCCCAGCTCCCTGCCTTTCAAAGTCCATCCCCCGCCCCCCAAATGTTCAGTCTTCCTGGGGGCAGGAGGTGTTGCTGAGGCTTCAAGAGCCGTTACTCTCTAGGGTTTATCTGGGGGCAGGGGAAGAGGCACAAACAACTCTCTTTTCTCTGGGGCTCTTTATCTATTCCTTGTTCCTCTTATTGCCCAGGAGCTGTTGCCTCTGTGTCTGAGAGCACCTCATGGAGCTCCCTTCTGACTCGAGCTTCTCTTTCCTAGGGCTGAATGGATTGCCTTCAGCAAGCGACATGGTGGCCGATATTGCCCAGAAAAGAGAGGAAATGGCAAAACAGTAGGAACTATTACATGACTCAGTAACCGCTGAGCATGCTGGGAAGGCTCCAGGGCAGCCAGTCCCCTCCTCACCATTTCCTATTGACTAGCTCAGGCACACTAAAAGTGCTGTCGTTTGTGGATTCCATTCTCAGGCACCTGTTTCTCCCCATGCATTGTACAGGGAGCTGAGGCCTCCAGTTCAGGGCCATGGAGTCCACTAGGTGACAAGGCACCAAACATTAGGCAGCGCAGTGCTGAGTGTTGCAGCACCTAGGTCTCTGTGTGGATCTAGCCCTGAGGCATTACTATGATCATTTATTTCAGGTATGTGAAAAGTCAGCGCCACACCATCCAGGCGGATTACATCCCATATATGGATGAACTCGCCTGCCTGACAGGGATGAAGCCCAGCCTGCTGTCTCTCTTCCTCATGGATCCAAAGCTCGCCGTGGAGGTTTTCTTTGGCCCCTGCACGCCGTACCAATACCGCCTGAGAGGGCCACGGAAGTGGGATCGAGCCAGGAAAAGCCATCCTGACCCAGAGAGAACGGATCATTAAATCTCTGAAAACCAAGGCAGTAGGAGATTGTACCCACCACACCCCAATGCCCTATTTGATTAAGATAGTTGGTGCCGTTGCTCTCTTTGCTATAATTTTAAATGCTCCTTCTCTGCTTGGTTACATAGGAAAAAAATATTATGGTGGACTTGATTATCTGGTTTCTGTGGGTTTCCAACTGATTCCCTGCAACTTTAGCACACATCCAGTGTAACCCTACACTTGCACTATCATCTGCTAGGAACTTCCTCCCTTGGTTTGTCAGACATGGCTGCTAATAACCCAGTGGTGACTTGGGACAGCTTTATTGTATAAACCAAGGCGTAGAGATCTTTGGTTCTGTTAAATATTTCTTGCACTGCTAGAAAACACATATTTTGGGGTGACACTGCTGTTAAAGTGTAGCATAAATAAGTATATGATGCATCACATTTCGGACAATCACACTTTGACCTGACATGAATTAGAGAGGTGCTGATTGCAACTCCGTAGTTCAGGTTGAATTCTGCTTTGCACTTAACCTCAACCTCTTTGTTACCAGCATACTTACAAATACAGTGTATCCTCTCCAAACAACCAGCCTGGACTCTTAGGAGTAGAGATTGTAAATTCTCAGAAAATTCAAGTACATTTGTCATTAGTTTAAGTTAATATTAATTATCCTCTGTAAGATGTATAGATCTGCCTTGAACATATTCTTAATTAACATTCCTTCTGGCCCTTAAATCGGAAAAGCTCTCCGTCTACACTCTTCTCCCTGACAACCATGGTCACAGCTCTCCACCTCTGTTTACCCCAAAATAGGGTGATGCAGGTCTGAACTCCACCTAGAAACTAAGGCTAATGAGAGATCCATCTTCCAACTCTTAATACTGAAGACCGTTTGTCTAAGGCAGTGATTCTCAATCAGGGGGCCACGAGCAGGTTCCAGGTTCCACCAAGCATGGCCTTTGTTAGACTCACTGGGGCCCATGGCAGAAAGCCGAAGCACTACTGCATGGGACTGAAGCCTGGGGCCCTAAGCCCTGCCACCCGGGGCTGAAGCCAAAGCCTGAGCAAGTTAGCTTCGCAGGGGCCCTTGCAGGGGCGGCAGGTTGGTAGAAATTTTGGTGCTGCCCAGAACGCTCAGAGCCCGCCCCTCCCCCTGAACTCCTTCCTAAGGAGGGAGTTTGGGGGGGGGGGAGGAGGTTTGGGGTGCAGGTCCTGGGTTGGGGCAGGGAATTGGGGTGTAGGATGGTTGAGAGGTTGGGCTCTGGGATGTAGTTTGGGTGCAGGCTCCGGGCTGGGGCACAGGGTGAGGGTGCAGGCTCTTGGAGGGAGTTTGGGGATGGGAGAGGCTGTGAAGGGAGGGGGTGCAGGCTCTGGAACGGAGTTTGGTTGTCGACTCTGGGCTGGGGTAAGTGGTAGGGGTGTAGGAGGGAGTTTGGATACAGGCTCTGGGAGGGAGTTGGGTTGTAGAAGCGGGTGTGTGGGAAGGGGGTGGGGGTGCAGACTCTGGGACGGAGTTTGGGTGTTGGGTGGAGGCTCTGGGCTGGGCTGGGACAGGGCCTGGGGGTGCAGGAGGGAGATGAGAGGTGCAGGAGGCTATGTGTGAGAAGAGGGTGAGGGGTGCAGGCTCTGGGACAGAATTTGGCTGCAGGCTCTGGGACAGAGTTTGGGTGCAGGAGGGGATGTGTTGGGGCATGGGGTGGGATGCAGGCGGGGTGGAGGGGTGCAGGCTCTGGGAGGGATTGTGGAGGGCTGGGTGCAGGCTCTGGGATCGAGTTTGAGTGCTGGGTGCAGGCTCTGGGCAGGGGCTGGGAGTGTACGAGGGGATGAGGGGTGCAGGCTCTGGGACAGAGTTTGGGTGCAGGCTCTAGGCTGGGGGTGCAGGTTCTGGGAGGGAGTTTGGGGGCCGGAGAGGGGGTGTGGGCTCTGGGAGGGGGTGCTGGGGAGGAGGGGACTGCCATCACATGTGGCTTCCTTCCTCCCCTCTTGCCCCTCACCATAGCCTCACTGGGGGTGGGGGATGGGGCTGCCCCTTGCCCAGTGTTTGCAGGAATGGTGGCTGGCGGGGGTGGATCACAGGGTCAAACACTCACCGAAGCCCCAGCAGCTGCTCAGGTGAGTCAAGGAGTTCCACTCCAGATGACTCCCACCGGAAGCCCCCTTGGAGTCTGGTGCCAGGGAAGGGGAGGGCTGCCAAGCACGTGTGTGCCTCCTCCCCATCCTGAGGTGCAGTAGCAGCAGCAGCTGCCTCAGCCTGATGCCAGTGTTACTCTTGTGCTGTTCTGTAGCTGCTGGCAGCGGAGGTGAGGGAGAGCCGTGCTGCTTTCACTCAGGCAGGGGCGCTCCGGGGGCCGGGGGAGAGACCCAGCTCCAAACATTGGTGGAGCAGGGCCTGAATATTGCTGGAGCCCGGGCACCACAAGAGAATATAACTCACCACCCCTGGGCCCTTGTGGCATGGGGCCACAGGCAATTGCCCTGCTTGCTACCCCCTAACACCTGTTCTGGCTTTTATATGCAGAAAACCAGTTGTAATGGCACAGGTGGGCCGTGGAGTTTTTAATAGAGTGTTGGGGGGGGGAGGGGGCTCAAAAATAAAGATGTTGAGAACCCCTGGTCTAAGGAATAGAATCCCAGATAAACTGGGAGGTTTAAATGAAATCTTCATGCTGTGGTTAGTTATTTTAGGCAAGAATCTCTCATAATTTACATATGGAAGGAACATCTCTTCTTCCCTCTGTCTGGCTAAAAAGAACTAACCAAATGTTTTCATATGCAAAGTAGGACATTGTGAGGGTCTCCGTTTCTTCGCAAAGCCTTTGGGGAAGAAGGATCCATAACTTAAAGGACCCTTGAACAGAATCCTTCCCAGCTAGGACACATGCTCAGAAATGACCAGAACAGTCTGAAAATGAGGCCTGAAGCATTATGTTCAGTGTCACCAACTGTCACAGATCCCCAGGATCAGTGCTAGGCCCCCAGCTTTGGAACAGTCTTTTGGTGGAACCCCTTTGGTGTGCCAGACCCCTAAGGGGTCTCACACTTCCCTCAGGATAGGCCTCAGAATAGGCCCCCTTCTGGGACTGAACGTCTGGGCTTCAGCCTTCCTCCTTCACCCCCTGAGCTCTGTTCAGAGAGTCCAGCTGACACAGACTCGTACGCATCTCAGGGACCAGTGCACCTCACCCAGAATTTACAGTGATACAAACAGCTTTTCAAAACAGTCGGGTTCATTAGCAGGGCTGGCCCACAACATTTTGGCACCAGAGATGGGGAGCTCAAATGATGCCCCCATATCCCCTTGCTTGGGCCAAAACTTTGAAAGGTCTAAATTCTGCCTTCTTCCTGTTCTACTCCTCTCATGGTACTGCTCTGCTACCTACCCCAATAAAGGAGAACTAACAACTTAAAATGCCTGGTTCAAAAATTTTAAGTAACACTTAACTTTCAAATGCCTGAACAGCAAATGTAACTTTTCTTGTCTGCATAGTAAACACTGGCATTTTTACCTGTTTGAATAATCAAAGTGATGCTTTCCGTGCCTTCTTGGTTGCTAAGATTTGAACTGCTTCCCGCCGAAGGTCCACAGTCTGGGCCAGCTCATGCTCTATTGAGATGGTGCAAGGCCGACCAGTCTCTCCTGTGTCATTGTGGAGCGTAGATGTGTTTTTATTAATTTCAACTTGGAGAAGCTGCGTTCTCCACTGGCAACTGTTATAGGAAGTGTTAGAAGTATGCGGAGAGCAACAAAAGCATTTGGAAAGAGGGTGATCATCTTATTTGTGCACATATATTCCCAAACAGCCTTTGGAATT